TTGCATTTAGCGGGGGATGACATTATTCCTCCGGATAGGTGGAGAGATTGCCAAAATGGTGTGTTGAAGCACCAGTAGGTGGTTATGTGAGGTTCTGGGTCCCTGCAGAGGAGAGGCGCTGTTCTCTGGCGAGATATATGGCTTCACAGAAGAGGTGACCTAGGCGGAGGAAGCGGCTGTTCTAGGGCCTGAAACACCTAGGCTGAAGGAAGTCAGACCAAGGGTTTCACAAAAGCCCATGAATTATCCTAGAAAAATGAACCGGGTAACATTCCATGAACTTGCAGTCTTGATAGATCAAACATGGCTTCACATTGGAATTTTCTTTGCTTCCATCTGATACCACGTGGTGGCGGTAGGTTTATTTTATTGATGTTGATTTGCACATTGAATAATTTTCTAAATTTGCATTTTGTTACTTTATTTATTTTTTGAGATGGAGTATCGCTCTTGTCCGCCAGGCTGGAGTGCAGTAGCACAGTCTCAACTCACTACAACCTCCACCTCCCAGGTTCACGTGATTCTCCTGCCTCAGCCTCTTGAGTAGGTGGGATTACAGGCGCCCGCCACCACACTCAGCTTATTTTTGTATTTTTAGTAGAGACGGGGTTTCACCGTGTTGGCCAGACTGGTCTTGAACTCCTGACCTCAGGTGATCCGCCCGCCTCCGCCTCCCGAAGTGCTGGGATTACGGGCATGAGCCACTGTGCCCAGCCTTGTTACTTTAAATAAGGCATAAAGTCTCGGACTCTATATTTCGATTTTTAAAATCTAGCAGGCTTCTGGGTTTTTCTTTACCTCGTGCATGTAGGAAAAAAGGAGTGTGTCAAGAGTGCTCTTCTGGTTTGACAAAGAAAATTTTTAAGCATTTATACTGGTGGATTTAAGCATTTCTCTGGGTGGATCCTGGGGAGAATCACCCAGTTGGGGGGCCATTTGGAAAAAAACACAGGAGGGTTTTGGGGGTTGTGCTACTCGGGTATTTACTACCTGGGAGCCACGGTTTCTTAACTACATGCCAGGCCCTGGGCAGTCTGTGTTACAAGGGTCAGCAAACTAGGAAGCCCTTGGACCAATCCCAACCTGCAACCTTTTTTTTTTTTT